GGTTCATTCATTTTGTCGTATTTTTTTGCAGAAAACGGGAATCAAAGTTAAAACAATTGAATTTATGGTCTAGGCTGACACTCCAGTGCAGCTCTGGGGGAACGCTGCATTGTTAAGCCATTCTTTGCTAAGATGCTAAGATATTAAACTGAGTTCCTGTCCCATCTGTGTAGGTAGAGATCCCATGACACCATTCAAATAGAGAAGGGAGTTTCTCCTGGTGTCCTGTCCAAGTAGAAAGAGAATTATAAAGTTCAAGCACATTAATATGCTTGTTAAACATCTTAATTTTTTTTAATCGCTATCTCATAGAATTTGATTTTCCTGTTGCATTACATGTGCGGTGGAATACAGAGATACACAGGAATAATGCAGCGAGTGGAAAAGCAAACTTAGAAATAAATTGTGGTTCATTGTCGACATCTTCTGGCCCATGTTTGCCATTACACGTCATTATCCAAGTTCAATAATAATAATCCTTGCATTTGATCTCGCGCCTTAATCACGTCTTCTTGACGTCTCAAATCGCTTCACAGAATATACCGCAAAGTGAATTGACTGGATATTTTGTGGGCGAAACGCGGCAGCCAAGTGCGCACGGCAGCGTCCCACGCACAGTCGTGGATTGATTCCATTTTTTGGTCAGTCTGACACAGGGTTGTTCAGTATGTCAGTAAGTCAACAACAACAGCAACAACGAAGTACATTTGTAGAGCGCCTTTCACGTCGGGAGGACATCCCAAGGCGCTGCCACGAACCACTCGTGGCGAGTTGGGATTCCAGATGCGGCTCGGTTGCATTTTGAATAAGTAAATAAAAACTGAGTAATCAACACCACTTTTTGGCCCGTGATATCAATGCTCATAGTCACACGCTGTACACATGTGTACTTTGACCTTTTTGGCGCTTTTGTTAGTGAATTGAAATCCGAGACTATTCGAGCAATTAGCTTCCCCCTGACCTACCGGAGCTTCGGGTTGCTGGGTTAACAGACGCTGAGCGGGAAGAATCCCTGGTGACTGGTTGGCATTCTGTTTCGCATTTCGCTTTGAATTGGACTGAGTCATTGAAGGAACATACTTTGGCACCATGTGGCAACCTCTGGTTGTTCAAGCAGCCAGCCAGCCAGCCAGCCAGCCAGCTATCCTCAGGTTCCCAAGTGAAAACAAGCAGTGAGATGTTGAACCTGTTGCTGTTTTGCCTGTTCTTTCATGTGTCTGTCTCCATCTACACTTGCCTGCAGTGGCTGTTGGGTTACCTGTCTATCATTGTCTGGAAAGTTTTAGTTGAGGAAAGTGGTCTGGGTTGTTCTCTCTCCTTGCAATGTGTCTGGATGCAATCTCTCTGGCTTCCTCTGGGTGTGGGAGGGAAAGCCTTTGCTTGTGCTTCTGGTCTCTTGGTCTATGTCCAGCTGAGCTCTATGTGTGTGTGTGTGTGTGTGTGTGTGTGTGTCTCTGGGTCTCCCCTACCTCACAGAGAGTGGAATGTCACTGTGTCTGACGCAGGATGGTAACCAGGGGGTTTTAATGCACCAAACACAGAGGGAAGTGGGGGCCAGAAATAGCACAAGTTACCCTCGGATGCAAGGGGCAGGCAATTGGTTCCAAATACGTTTTTTTTTGGGGGGGGAGAGAGAGAGAGAGAAAAGAGGAATGAGATCATATAAACCAAGAGATTGCAGTTATGTTTTGGAGGATTCCTCCCTCCCCCTCTCACTGTATTGCTGGAAGTGGTGAAACTTTAAGGGAATCACTTGTGTAAGGTAACCCACTCCCACCCCCAACCCCCACCCCCCACCACCTCCCTTGAGGTTCCTCAGAGCAGGGTTTGGGTTTGGGTTGGGTTTGACAGGCAGGGAGTTTGGCAGATCAAGGCACTGATGGACAGAGTGCATTCTGCACCAGGGTTGACCAAAGCTCACACATAATAATTGCTCTTTATTCCCAGTTCCATGGAAATCAAAGGAATTCAAAAGCTTTGGTCATCTTATCACCCACCACAATCAAACTGCCTGGTAACTTGGACCATTGTGTATATACTGGACTGTATTTGTTATGAAACCCACACTTTGTTTCGATAAACAAACACATTCACACACACATATATATATATATACTGAAGTATTGTAAATAAATGTGTAATTTTTCAAAGGTGTTAATAATAAAACCACATTGATTGGACGACTGTAAAACGGACGTTTATTTCAAAGAAATAGTTCTCTGCAGGTCTTAGATACAATGAATGCATTAAATACAAACCTCTATTTGTATGGTTTATTGCACCTGTTGAGTGTCCTGTTGCATTGTTAACAGAATAGGAATTTTAATACGATTTGCTTCAAGTACCAACCCCTCCTCTAGTATGTGTGTGGGGGGGTGAGGGGTGTGGGGGAGAGAGGGTTAAGACTGATGGGAGTAAATCAATGAATCATATCCATCCTATGCTGCATTTTGTTTTTAAATAAGCAAAGTTATTTTTGGCTGCCTCTTTATCTGGCTCTACTGACATCTGTTGGACATTTTAAACACACTTGCAGGTGGAATGTTGCATTAATAGTGTCCAACACAGCTAGAAATTGTATTTTGTGGCCAATCCACTTTACAATATATCCCGTGAAGTGCTTTGAGATATCTCAATGACATGATAAGGCGCTACATCAAATGCAAGGATTATTATTATTATTATAAACGGCGTTTGGGAATGGTCCATGGCTTCTCTTTCATTTCCCAGAAGCTTTATTAGCATTTGAAAAAACTATTTTAATAATAATAATAATCCTTGCATTTGATATAGCGCTTTTCACGTCGGGAGGACGTCCCAAAGCGCTTCACAGAACACACTGTAAAGTGAATTGACTGTATATTTGTGGGCGAACGCGGCAGCCAATTGCGCACAGCAATGTCCCACAAACAGTCGTGGATTGAAAATGACCAATTTATTATTGTTTTTGGTTTTGGAGGGATTATTATTAGGCTCTGTGTGGAGTAAGGAAACTTGCCCAAGGTTTCGCCCTCTGCCTGGAATTGAACTCAGGTCTCTCACTTGCAAAGCGAGTGCTCTAACCACTGAGCTACAGGACTTTTTGTTGATTAGAGACAATGGAGAAGATATATAAATCAGACTCCTCGCCCCCACATCAACCTACGCAGGATGAATGCGGCATTAAATAGTTGGGCGATAATGATTTGGTTCTACAGTACTGTGTAAACCAGAGAAATTACAAAGTTGCACCAAAGGATGTAAAATCAATATAATTTGTGAACTGTAGAACACATTGTATTCTGTTCAATCAAAACAACGGAATCACCGAAAGATGTTAACAATCATTTTTTTTTTGAGTTCAGGTGTTTGAGTTATAATAATAATAATAATAAATTATAGGTGTTTGAGTTCAGTTGTAAGAGTATAGAAACTGCCAAAGGAAAGAAGCAGAAAAATCGGTGGGCAGTTAAATAAATAAGTAGCACGCCACCTGGTTGTTGATACTTGACAATGTTTTTTTAAACTCAAAGAAATCCATTTAAACATATTAACCTTCAGTCTAGTATATGTGGATTTGTTGAATTTTTAGCAGATTTTGTTAAAGTCTATGCTTTGTACTTACCCTCTCATAGAGATGCGGAACAAATTCACAGCACAAAACGGTGCAAACAAAAGGGACAACAAAATCACCTGGAGAGGTGCCTTCCGGGATCATTTTCTTCATTGCAAACCTATATTCTAAAGCCACATTTAATGCAACGTGTTTGGATTACTCTATTTCTGAAAAAAGGTCATCTTTATTAAAGGTAAGTTGATTTAAAAAAACACAAATAATACACAGCAGTCTCAAACCACACCTCGCTCTTGAATCGAGAATGGAGATATGAATTGGTTATTTTTTAAGCTCCTTTAAAAGGGAGATTCCAGCTTCTCCTTTTGTAAATAGAAATGTGTAACGTGTACAAGAAGGTACAAAACCCTACCAGAAGGGAGACGAGGTGAATTTTTTTTACTCAGAGAGTTGTTACGGTCTGGAATGTACTGCCTGAAAGGGTGGTGGAAGCAGATTCGATAACAGCTTTCAAAAGGGAATTGGATAGGTACTTACAAAAGAAAAAAATGCAGGTCTATGGAGTGAGAGCAGGGCAGTGGTACAAATTGGATAGCTCTTTCAAGGAGCTGGCACAGGCACGATGGGTCGAATGGCCTCCTTCTGTGCTGTAAGATTCGACAAAATAGGCACGTGCGATATCAGAGGGAACAAAAAGCAAACAGGTGTACTGTGTAAACTGGGTAATTGTCACTGTAAGTTGGGAGCTACAGAACTCAAGCAGCAAGTTGGGAGATATTATGGTGATGGCAAAGTAAGGTCATTTGAAAACTCACAAGCATACTTTCTTGACATTAAACTGTTTCGACTTAATTGGATGCAAGTTTTCAATCTTGTTTTCAACAGGACAACCTGTGTAGAAAGTGCAGAGAGATATTGGAAACTTTTCAGTATTCATTAATAAACTGAAAAGCAAACCTAAGAGGTGGAATTCTGATGCCAATATGGAAATAGTTTAATTTCTGCCCTTTAAAGATTCAAACTTGTATTTGAATATTAAGTTGATTCAGTAATGACTTCCCATAAATCCAAATAAAACAAAATCAACAGTCTTTATCAATGCTTGGATGGTCCATTTATTGTTCATACTTTCAAGAGATTACCAAAGTATGATTAAATTAGACGTGATTTTGATACAAATTTAGTCAATTACAAAGGCATTATGTTGTTCCTTGATTTGGAAAAAGAATAGATTCTTCTCTAAGTGGGTTGTAATTCTATTCAGAAAAGGTACTTAACAAATCAATGCTGCAGATTGTGAAACATAAGAACAATGACACTAACTAGGACTGATTGATAAATTATGTTAAATGTCCACCTTATCTGAAGTTTTATGATGCTTTGGTTATTTAAAATTGTTGCTTATCCTTGTATCTGTTCTATCCAGTAATGTAGAAGGAAAGGCATGATGGCTTTGCCCTGTGAGCAGTCCACGTTGAAGAAAGAAATTGTGCGAATCAATGAATGTGGGATTCTTGGTGACGCCTGGAGGAATTATATCGACAGAAAAAATAAAATTTTGCAGTTTCTTGGGCAGAATTTGAATGCGGACCTCTTGAGGCGCTACAAAACAAGATTTGAACTTCTGAAGAAATGCTCTTATTATATAGATGTTTTACCCAAATATTTAACATTAGGAGACCAAAGTCAGCTTCAGCCCGAGGTACTCTACCAGCTGATTGATCCAGGCAAATTTCTACGGATGAAAAAAATAGGCACCAATCAGGTCAAAATCCAGCTCCTCTTACTGAAGGAGTATCTGAGCGAGCTGAAATGTGGTCGCGAAGAGTTAAAGATCATCACAAAGATATCGGACGTGACCATGTTTCTTTTGCATTGGAACACAACCTGTGCTAGGCTGGGACTTCTCTCCAACACATTAAAGAACTTCATTTCAATCCTCATCCCCAGCAAACTTCACGTAAAGCACCACCTCACGAGCGATGCAAAGTCAAACAAAATACCTCAGCTCAGACTGGTTCTCAGGACCAAGATGCCCGTTGTGTTTGATCGAAAAGAATCAGTCGCTTCTCAGAATTCGGTGGCACTGAAGTGGTTTATCCTTGGGGAACCCGCACTTCATGAACAGTACGAACTGAAATATAAACTAGTGGAATCCAACTGCTGCAGCGGGAAGGACCGGTGTGGCGTTGTTGCTGTAACGTCAAACAACGCTGAGATCAGTGACCTCCTGCCCGACAGTTCGTATGAGTTTACCATTGCACGAGCAGAAAATTACGCAGTTGTTTATTCAATATGGTGTGACGCTTTGATCCTGAAAACAAAGGCAGCAGTTTGTCCAGAATATCTTGATAATGAAATGTGCTGATTCACATAGAAATATTGCAATAGGCATTTTAAGCTGATAAATGCTAAATCAAGTATCAGTCTCTGGTCCACCTGAATATTCCCTTAACGTATTCAGAAGCTTTGAAGTAAAACAAACAGGAAACCTGCTGCATGGACAATGCCATTCGGCAAATGCGTTGAATGGATAGTCAGATCAGATTGCTTTATATTGCCATAGTTTTACGGAGAAATGTTCCTTCTAAAAATCTGCAGTATTCTAAGCGAGCAATGCATTTATTAGGTCCTGATATTAAGCACAATTCCTAGATTAAGAAGATTGACGAATGACCCCTTCACAGGTCTCTGCCTTGTAGTTGATTGCCTGGCGGTGCACAAGAGATGGCCAAGATAATTCTTGGGAGATTCTTTCCCTCTTCCTATGAAGATGTACCTGGTTTTGGCTGAGCACTTGGCCCTGGTGGACAGGCAAAGATTGGAAGTTACCATGTGAAGGATCAAGCCTGCATTCTATGACAAAATGCACTGGAATACCACTGCAATAATCATGTGCATTTATACATCGCCCAGTCTAATGTAGTTAGGCCTCATGAATGAAACTCGTGAGATCTGACAAATTAAGGTTTTACCTAATTATTAAGGTTTAATTTTCGTGTTAGATGTTTGATGCTGTTAACAATGTTGTACTTCTGGAAGAACTAATGGTAAAAAAAACTGTTTCGCTAGGTGATTTGGCATAATAGAATGATCTTCAATTGTATCAAATTCTGTGCTCCACCATTCATTTTTAAATACTTTCAATTGTTTGACTAAACTGCAGACATAACTGTCCATAAAACCCAAAATATTGGTCATCCTGAGCAGGCTGGAGTACACAGCAGCAGCTTTGGGTCAGAATATTTGGAAATACACCACACGCACACAGACAGTCATTTTTAGCAAATTTATTTTCCATTTCCTCATTTACCTAATTCCCCTTTTACAAAATGAAAATCATTAAAGTTTCAGTTTCAGTGCAAATTCTGATAATCAGCTACATAAACATAAAAGGGTACACAAGTTGAATATTTCCCACTGGAAAATTACATCCAAAATAATTTATAACCTCAAGAAGTTAAGGAGCCATGAAGGATGGCTCTACGATCTAGTGTGGAGTGACGAATGGGCTGTACTCTCTGTCATTCACCATTCCCTATCAATAGTTACCACCTGATTTAATGAAAACTGTAGAGAACTTGCTGGGGGGTGGGGGGGGGGGGGGGAGTTAGTTACAAGGTAGTCTGGTACCAAAACATGTGAAGTGTTCTGCTCTGCACTATGTGTCAATGGCAATTAATCCCCAAACTGCATGCACATGATCTGGGGCCAAGTCCACAAGTACAGCAAAGAGGTGAGGCAAGGTGACTAACCAATAATTAAATCTATCTACCAGCTGCAGAGTGCCACTGACATTGACTGCACAAACAAAGGCACCCAATGTTGCCTCCTTAGTCAAAGTGCAAAGTACATAATGGCTAAAAAAAAGAGACTCGATCGATCATTCCAGATTTAAGGCCTTACAATGGCATTTAGGCATTTTTACAAAAAAACTATCCAGTTGAATACATATATATACATATTTTAAAATAATCAATTTGAATATAATTTTCCACATGACGTTCACAAGTTTGGACGCAAAATTGATGTTTAACTCGGTTTACATTCTCAGAATTCTGTTAAAGGAATGAGCAGTGTATGTGAAGAGCTGAGACTAAGCTGCACAGTGTCTACAAAGAATTTGGGGTGGGAAGTACAGAAACGAACAGACATTAACAAGATTTCCCAGTGATCACTACCATTGAGTGTGATGAATTCTACGTATCTACTAACGTACGCTTCCTCAATATCCGACGATGCAGAGTTTGATAATCAAAGGATTATTGAAACCACTCGCAAAAAAACTTGAGGAATTGCACGTTTGTATAAAATATGAATATCTGCTCATTATATTCAATGGAAAATTAATTGCGAAACTCACTTGTATTCCAGACAGTCGATTCCTAGAATTTATTCGAAATAAATGATTCTCAGTAGCTCACCAATCTATCCACCATTCAAACAACTTAAATCACTTCCCCATTGTTCCTCAGCAACTGTTATCAAAGATCAGATTGGGGGACACATATTAAAATCAGTTAAACAGATAAAACAGGTACCATTCTTCAATAACTTCAGTTAAACCGAAAAACGAACATATTTCTCAAATCATTTGATGCAATGTAAAAGAAAAATCAAGTCTAAAGGAGCTGTAACTTGAATTTTATGCCAGTTGTAAAAGCAAGACCGAAGCGATTGTAAACTTCCCCTTTAAGAGAATTCAACGCAAACGGCCACACAACGAGAAGCTCCTGTACAGCATTTGTATAAACAGTTTTGACAAAAAAATTCAATACCAGCGCAATGCAAATATCCTGGTCAAGGATCACTCACTTCAAAAGGGAAGGTCCACCTCAAACCCTTTCCCACCCACTCCCTCAACACATTAGCCACCGTTCTACTGCTCAGACAACAACTAGCTACTAGGATACATGTTCAAGAGATTCAATCCACTCACAACCTCTACCTATCACCTTCCCACATGGATAATTGCAAGCAAACCCACCTCCTATCCTCCCACTCAACTGAAGAGCATTAGTGCACCCGGCCACTGTACTTACAACGTATTCTACTCAACAACTGCTCCTGTTGCACAGAACTTTGCAGTTCTGACGAAGAGAGCGGTAATTGCTAGCTTCATAAATTTCCGTGTAAAACGAGGTAAAGTAGGAAACAGCGACAGTAGCGAGACGAGACCCTGATGGAATAAAGTACATTATTTGCAAATCTGCTTTTTTGGGGGGAGGAGGGGGTGGAGGGCATCAGGTTCACAGAACAGTGTTGTCAAATTCTACAGCCACAAAAGAAATGCCGTGAGTGGCTGGTAGCTGGAGGTAAATTTCACCAGTGTTTATGAAAGGGAATATTGTGCTGAAATTTTTCATGACCCCCCCCCCACCTCACCCCCTTAAAAAGACTGGCCATAAGATGCAAACCAAAGCAATCGTGTCTTTTTTTTCCCGCCCCCAATCGTTTATGGTGTCTTCGGGTCTTTTTTTGGGGTGAGACCGGGAAGTTTCTTGAGCAGTGCTTCGTGATCCATCCCAACAGTGGCTACAAGACCTCCGCTATTGGAGGGAGAGTCTTTGTAATCGATGCTGCCCCCTTCAATGGTGGTCATATGACCTCCCAAAGCCTCCAGTATGGCGTTCCCAGCACAGATATCCCACTTCTTAATGAAGGTCACGTGGATGTACAGGTCTGCGTGATGAAGCTGGCTGGCTTCCTCAATGTCCAAGAGCGAGAGAACTTTGTACCCTGTTGTGCACCGAAGCAAAAACAAAGAGTAATTCTATCTTCCTCAGTAAATCAGACTTATAGATTCATTCACTATGAAAAGAGGCAGCAGCCACAAAGTGTATCTGTGCATTGGGAGGTGCATTGTGGCACAAATTTATTCAGAACAATTCATGATTTTAATCCAGTCTTGGCTAAATTAGGCATTTTAATTTTTCTTCGTATTTTGGTTGCACAGAGGATTATCTATGAAGCATATTACAGTCGGCTGTAGGCAAGATTAGATTACAATTATAGGAATGTTCCCTCGTCTTGTCACTGTTACAGAGGGCGTGATCTCTATTCACTGCCCCATTGAAGGTGCTTGTTTTGGTCTATCGCTGATTCCCCAAGCACAGCAAGCCTCTGCTTGCCCACCTACCTAATGCTCTGCTCACAGGCATCCTTTACGGCAGTGAATATTTTGTTTGTGATGAGCTCACAGACCAAATTAATAATAATGACTAATCCTTGCATTTGATATAGCTCCGAGACGTCTCAAAGCGCTTCACAAAATATAATGCAATATAATATAATAATATAATGACTAAAAAAAAAACGTACTCATCAATGCAAATGAATGATATCAGCGCTCGGGAATGGACGAAATTTACAATCGGACACTCAGGACGTACTTAATCTACAGTCAATAGTGGAACGCCTTGCTGAAAGGGCTCAGGACTGACAGGTCAAATGGAGTATGTGCCAATTTGTGTGTGGAGGTGTGGGACCAAAATGCATTTTTAAAAAAATCTGTCATTTAAAAAAAACGTTGTCAGACTTAAATGAAACTTCTGAACTAGGATGCAATTGATGTAAGCAACAGGAACTTGGGAAATGTCCTGATATCCCATATACACAGTCCGTCCCTGTTTATGGTGTTAATCCACAGATCTTTATGGCCTGAGGTTGTACAGGGTGGGAAAGAGAAGCAAATCTATTTTATTCCTGAATGGAATGACCTACCTGCTCCTCCTGCAGGAATAATGGAAGTTCCATTTCCAAAAGCAACAGTCGAGTAAGATTTCACAGTTCCTGCGTGAGATCTGGAAACAATTACTGTAGGAGATTTCTCATTGTAGGATTTTCGCTTATGAACATTTGATGCACCTCCAACCATAGCCCAAGCTACAAAACAGAAAGTGGGTTAAATAGTAATAATAATTATTATTATTAATCATAATAATAACAATCCTTGCATCTGGTATAATGCCGAGAATGTCAACAAGTTTCAAAGTGTTTTACAGTCTCTGTAAAGTGAAATGACTAAGCACTTGTCTCTGAGCACTTGTTCCGAACAGATGGAACCTCGGTTTAATGACTCATCCAAAGGTTTGCACCTCTTGACAATGCAATGCTCGGTCAGCACTGATTTGGAGTGTCAGCCTCGCCCTCGCATGAAGCTTGAGCCCACACCTATCTCATTCAGTGAGAGAGAGTGCTATCACTGACTTGGCTGACGCAGGATATACTGGGAACAACAACAACAACATGGATTTATATAGCCGGACGGCGTCTCAGAACGTTTCACAGCAACGGATCCCGGGACCGAGCCGGGGGGAGGGGGAGGAAGGTGACCAAAGGCCCGGTCGAAAAGAAAAGTCTTCAGCAGAGACCTGAAAATAGGAAGGGAAGTAGGCAAGGGGTGGTCAAGTGCTACAAAAATTTAAACAGGTTTTACTTCTTAAAGTATGTCAATTGTAACCCTAATTACCGTAGGTGGGACACAAGTAGAAACCAATAATCTCCTCCACAGTATAGTACCCAATTATTGTACTGTCACTTTGTATTGTAATTATGCCTCCCCCTTGCCTAACTCAACAACGCAATAAACTGAACATGGGAAAGGGAGAAAAATTAAACACACCGACCAATAAAGAACACACATGCCAGAGCTCAGCCTACACAACATATCTCTACCAAAAGCCAGTGATAGGGTCATACAACCAGAATAATAAACCAGAGGTAACCATATACAGTCAGGGCCTTTTTTGTCAACCAAGGCAATGATTTGAGATAAAGCCATTTTTATTTTCTAGGCTCTATAAATTTGCCCTCAATGAAAACAGGTATAATTACGTAAACCGTGGTCCTAACACAGTCTCTTTGTACATACAAGGCCACTACTGTCTCAATGCAGTTATAAATGTTTTCTTTGTTCTTATGTGGCATGAAAGGATCATTATACTTGACTTTCATTCAAGGACAAGCAATGCAGAAAAAAACTAGTACCCAAGGAACTTTTTCAGTGGAGAAGCTATCGATACAAACAGTTTAGCTCTGACACAACTTGCTGCAAGTAATATTGAGCTGGTTCCCTAAGGGAGCAATAACTTAATTGATTAGGTCATGCTTTACTTAGTAGGGCACAAGCCTCAGCACTGAAGTAGTTTCTTCTCATTACTTTACTGTTCTCCACCATTATAACTCTTTCCTTTATTTCTTCAATCAGAACATGCTAATGCTGATTGATTGATCGAAATATTGAACAACAGGTTATATATAAGGGAACATCGCTATTGGAATCCTTTTCTCTTTATACCTTTAAAGTTCAGGACCTTTCTACTCATTCTAACATTTCGACTTAATTTCTCTTTATCACATTGGTAAATTCAGATATCCATCGTATAAAGTCCGAACAAAACCAACTCTCAAGTTTCCCCAAACTGGCTTGCTCCCGCACCCCAGCATCACATTTAACAAGTTCAAATCACAGCCAAGCAGAAAATAGCTGCCGAGATCCACTTTAGCCAAATAGGTAACAAAACTGAGATATATATTGACAACTTACCGGTATATTTTGAAAACGGTTTGTGTATAACTCCAATAACTGGTTTACCATCGACGGCCACGCAGACCATAGTTGTTACAAAGTGTCTCAGATCCTCTGCAAAAAAAAAGATAGTCATAAAAGTTCAGAAAGTGAAAACAGGAAAGTAAACGCAAACTGATCAATCCCTGAAGTTGCTTCAAAAACAACCCCTCCCTCACCAATATTTCTGCTCTCCCTATTTTCAAAAGGTACTTGTCCCCATTTGCTTCCTTCCAGGATCTGATTCCACCAGTACCTGCAATACCTCATCCAAATGATTATTGGCCATGTGAAAACCTCAACAGTGAACATCAGAACACCAGTAAAAAGTGGGCCTGATACAATGACAACTGAGCCCATCCTGGATTAATAATACATTGCACGTGTGCACAGAAAGCCATTTCGCTTCAAAGCTTCCGACTAGCTTTTTGGCTTTGAAATATATCTGCGCTCTGGATCTTGTTTTTGTTCCCCCTCATCACTTCCTGTTCACCGATTTAGTGATAAGCCTTGTTTTCGTTCCCAATACTATACTGAATGCATTTGTTTGTGACTCTAAGACATTAGGTCTCAGCTGTTTAACAGCAATACTCAAGAGCAGAAAAGATCCTCAGATTATAATTCACAATCTATCAGTCCATAGCCTCCCTAAGGTGGGGGTGGGGGGAGGAAAGTGGTGGGTTGGGGTATGCACAGCCTGAGGGAGGAATTAAGTTCTTAGCACTTTGTAAACCGTTTCTGTCTTGTTTATCCAAGACTAGAACTGGGCCTGCACTATTATGAATGCTCTTTCTGTACCGATTTTGAACAGGAGGAAGTCGTAACAAGACATTCTTGTTCCAAGGTTAAAGTTATGCAGAGATCAAATTAAATAGCCGATGTATTTTCAAGGAACCAATGTAGTTGGAATCCGATGCAACTTAACTCACTGAAAGTATATCTAAATGTTGAAAGAAACAACTGTCCACTGACAAATTTAACCCTCATATAAAGTAGAATTAAATCCCAATAGTAAAGCCACTCCAATTCTTTACTTATTTATATCCATTAAATTGTTCTGAACATTTCTCAGCAGTTTTTCTTTAAATTTCTGATCAGAGTAATGTCTTGAATTGACATCAAGACGGTTGCAATGACTTTTGTTTTGAAGGCAAAACTCCATTTTGATGAAATATGGACGTAAACGTAAATCTACCTGGAAGATAATACAAATCTCTGGTGTACACACATGGCAAGACTTTGCTGAATTTAAACGTCTTAGGAAAATACTGCTGCAGGGGAAAGCATTTTGAAGGTTAAGTCCTGTCTCCCTTTTATCAGCACCATATGCAAGCTTTATAAAATCCTCGACTCTTTAGTTGAGAAAAAACACTACTGCAAACCTCTGAGGAGAGATTATTTCAGCTCAGGTGGCAGTGACTAATTCCCACTCAGTCTGCAGCAGTTAGTGGCTGAGGCAGTGAGTGCCTGTCCTCAAAGATCCAGAATCAACATCTTTTCCCTTCTGAATATGCTAACCAGTGTGATCTCTAAACTGGTGCACTACAGTTAATAACTTTATTCTCTAATAGAATGCATTCAGTTGAAGCCAAGGCACACGTACTTAATTATATATAAAAAGAGATGGTCTTAGTACATCTGCTTCCAAGGAAATCCTGTTATGAACACCATTCTCAAATGGATGTGGGTCAGGTTTGTGTAAAGGAACCACAGAAGTCCACAGTGAAACAAGCTTTACCAGAAGAGTTATCGCTGGTGTCACTGCAACCAGAGAAACTGAACACGATTTGATTGTGAGTTCAAGTTAACTCCAAACAATCCAGGAATCAAACCCAGGAACTTTCTTGGTTTGCAAGTCTTAGTCATGTTCCAAATCATAAAGAGCAGGTGCACGGTGACTGGGAACTGAAGATGTCAAAAGGACTGTTTAATTTCAGTAATCGCCTCAATACAATATTCACAAAATGTTACTTCTGCTTTCTGCAAAAGGAAGAGTACAAAGGTCGTAGCGTATTGTATCCTGAGCTTGAGTTGTGGAGGAGTCATGTGGTAAATCGTCATTTTTCACAATGTTCTTACTGTTCAGTAGGTGAATGGTATCTACCTGTGTATTCCTGCGTTGCATCCAATGGATCAATCCACACTGTGATGCTTTCCGCTGGCACCATCTTGGCATCGACTATGCTTTCCTCGATGAAACTAGGAACTTTGGAATTCCACACGAGGGTCTTGTCTAATTTAGTGTCGTCGTGCTCTTCAGAAATCACCTAGACATCAAAACACAAAATTGCTACTAATAGACAATCCAAAAAAAAGCTCCAACCAATAACAACAATCCGTGCATTTGATATAGCGCTTTTCACGTCTTCTAGACATCTCAAAGCACTTCACAGAATATGCCGTAAAGCGAATTGACTGTATATTGTGGACAATATTATACAACTGGATGATCTTAGAAGTGTGAATGCTTTTGGAAATTATTTATTGCCAGCAACGGGCACGTTTTACTCCCTGGGATGCTACACCACGTGAAGGGTGCTATATAAATGCACGTTGTTGTTGGGTGTTGCAACTGACTGTATTATACTATCTGAGTGTCTGTCTTGTAAGCACGCAATCTGTATTACAGATTAAATAACACAGTCTGTTTCTGTCGTGTCTGCCTATGTACTCAAGTTGAATGCAACTCCAGACGTATACATTGCTATGAATTTAGGTGGCACATTTCAATACACTCCAAGGGGTCGTAGATTATGAGATTAAATTTGCATTGTTTCAAAATGATAATGATCACAAGGAACACATGCATAGTATTTTCAGTGAACATTCTGGTGTGTTCTGCTTTGTATGTAAAACACAAGCTTCAGGAACAAAGGCTTCAGTTTGTAAAGCAGATTTCAACAACACGTCACTAAAGGGGGGACACGAAGAGGTGGGGAGGAATGTAAGCTAAAATTTGGTGAAGAGTGGGGGGGGGGGGAAGAATTTTAAATAGGTTATAAAGACTACATTTGGTGAGGACAAGTTTGCAGGGCTATGGGGAGAGAGCAGAGGAGTGGGATTGAATTGGATAGCTCTTTTCAAATGGCCTCCTTCTGTGCTGTATAACTCTCTGATGGCATGAAGGTAAAATAATACTATATCTATCTACGATCCGTACAGAGTGGTCATAGGCCAGAGAAGGCGAGGAGGTAAGGAGAGTAATGTGTTTGGAGCAGGAAGAAGAGAAATAGTTTGTAGCACGAGCTGCAGCATAACAAAATGCTTCCTACGAACTTAAGTTTATGCTTTGAAAGAAACAGTTTCTCTCCCCTGTCCTCTCAGCAGACACATTTGCTGATCGGTCCTGTTGATAGCTAAGTGTTGGTCGCTAATGCAACATTACCTTTCCTCTCCCGGACATAAGACTCTTTCAAATCAATTCGATTTTTACATTTGCGAAAACAAAATAGCAGCCGTCCTGAAAATACAGCCGTGACGGTGAGAGGGGATTTTTTTTATTTTAAAAAACACAAACAACACAGGGAAGGAAAACTCCTTTGAGTCGTTATCTCTGACATTGGTCACTTCAATCCACGACTGTTTGTGGGACGCTGCTGTGCGCAATTTGGCTGCCGCTTTTCGGCCACACAAAAAAATATACAGGGGTCAATTGGCTTTATATATATCCTTTATGTATATCCTGCGAAGCACTTTCAGGCAAATCAAAGACGTTTGATAAGGCGCTATATCAAATGCAAGGATTATTATTATATTATTATTAGATTATTATTATGATCCGCTAATGAGAAACTGGTCAATACTTTTACTAGAACAAGGGTAGATTGAAATGATCACACATAAGAGATACAAGTTGATTCATTTTTTTTTACACACAAACACAACACACTTTACCTTCACATTCGGGAAAGCATTGGCGAACAGACTGGCCATCTTCCTGTGGGACATCAAGTCTCCTGCGGTCACCATCTCCTCGGCACCTTCCTTGGTTTTGCCTTTGGATTTCTCGTCCAGGGCCCTCTTCTCCTTGACCTCCTTGACCGCTCTGCCCCCTTCTTCGGCCGCCGCGATGGACAGCGACAGGAGCTGGCGGAGGTCAATGCGGAGGCTTGGACCGCCGGAGTCGGAGTCGGAGGGGGAGGAAAAGATGCTGATGCTGCTGGCCCTTGGCATCCCGCGCTTTACGCAGAAGATGTAAAGCGCGGCAGCGGCTAGCAGCAGGCAGACGGCTACCCTACCGTGGGACACTTTGATCCCCATGGGAGCCATCAAGAGGTGATGGATTGGGGAGCAGTTGCTATTTTTTTTTACGCACACACACACACACACACACACAGGAGAACAACAGGAGCTGAGCTGGGGCTGGGGTTGGGCAACTTTAGTCAACGTGGCTTCTAAAACACTTACAACTTCCAGGCGATCAGGCGGAAACCCAGAAAACTCTGGTGCTGCCAAACACACACTACACTACATTGCATTACACTCCACTACACACATACACGGAAGTCCCAACATAACAGGCAAAAAAAAGAACTCCCTCTCTCTCTCTCTCTTTCTCTCTCTCTCTTTCTTTCTTCTCTTTCACTTTCTCTCTCTCTTTTTAGGACCTCTCTTGCTTTCTTTTTAATCAATTGATTGCTATGGTTTCTTCCCAACCCACAGCCCTGCAATTTTGCAAAGCCAGATTCTTGCACCAAATAAAAAGTCCAAACTATTTATATTAGAAACCTTACTATTATTAAAAATAAAAATGCATTAGAGCTCAATCTGATCCAATCTTATCCTTCCCACTTTTTCTCTCTCTTTCTCTCTCTCTCTCTCTCTCCACACAAACACATTTAGAATATTTTCTTCTTCTTCTCTGGTTCTGGTGGTTAAGTGCCAAGTTTTTTTCCCCCCCCCCCAAGTAGCAAATGCTCACAACGTTGACTTTAGACTTGTTTTTTCCAGTTTAAGAGAGGTTTACAGCTGGGAAGTGAAGTGGGGTTTTTTTTTGCATATAAAACAATATAAAACAAGAGAAAGAAAAACACACACTTTTTTTTCTTGCAGAAGGAGGAGGAGGAGGAGAAGGAGGAGAGAGAGAGAGAGAGAGCTAAGTCACTGGACATCAGACGTGCATTTCCTTAAAACTTTGCAGCAAATGGAGAAGATTGCACAGTGGTTTGTGAAACCAGTTGCACAGGACTTTAACACAAGCCTATCGATGTGCAACTTGGGGGCTGTACTTCCGTTGGAGCTGTGGGGCATTAAATTGTTTGCTTAATTGCCCAATAAAGTACATCGACCAGTTTTTAGATCAGAATGGTAGCTGTCAAACCCCTGGGATGGATTGTGACAGGGTTCACAGAAAAGTATTCAGATCATAGTTGCCCTTTAACGATCCATCCTGGGATTGTGAACCCATTTCCAGTTGGTCCAGTGAAAAAAAAACAGTTTGCACTTGTGTGTATGTCTTGTGTTTTTCTTGGATTTTTAGTGGAAGCCACTGGAGGGCACACGACACCTATTACTGAATTCCCGGGAGGGATCGATGCCTGTGACTGCAATTCTGCTAACTCCAGCAACAACACCGCCGAAAAACAATAGCCGAAAGACTTTTAACACCCATTTTAACAAGTTGTTGCTATTGATTGTGTTTTTTTTAAAAATTGCAACGCAAAATCCGGCTCATTGTTCGACTTCGAACTGTTTTTTTTTTAAAAAAAAGATACGCAACCACGACAAACGGCGACAGTAACACACCACGACAAAGCCGGATTTACGTAGCGTCTCTCTTGCGTGCGGGTGATCTGCCCGAGGTGCTGGACGGTGAAGGGTTTGCGTCCAAGCTGGATGTTGGAGGATAATATCATTATTAATAATAATAATCCTTGTACTTTGATATAGGGCTTTTTCACGTCTTCGAGACGCCTCAAAGCGCTTCACAGAATATAAAGTAAAGTGAATTGACCGTATATTTGTGGGCGAAACAGCAGTGTCCCACAAACAGCCGTGGGTTGAAAATAACCAATTTATTATTGTTTTGTTTTGGAGCGATTATTATTAGGTGTGTGGAGTCAGGAAACTTGCCCAAGGTTTCGCCCTCTGCCGGGAATTGAACCCAGGTGTCTTCGCTTGCAAGGCGAGTGCTCTAACCACTGAGCTACAGGACTCCACAAAACCTTCTGATTTGCTTAATTTTCTTTTGGGTGGGAGTGGGGTGGTCAGCTGGGTGTCTGACACATGGGGAGACCCATCGCCGTGCTTAAGGGCATCCAAACCATCAAACAGAGTTCCGTGCGTCCCACCTGCACATGGAAATTTCAGAGATAGATTGTTGGAATGGAATGCGCACTCTCTCCCTGGAGGAACGCATCTTGCTTACCTAATTCCGGAGAGTATTAGGCGTAGGTTGGCAAGAGCCAAGGCTTGGGGACCTCAGAGTTATAGCGTTATTTAGTTTTTAAATAAGCAGTAAAGAAACACACCAGAGATTTCTAAAATTGTGTGCAAATATCAATAGTGGAGTCCTGTAGCTCAGCGGTTAGAGCACTCGCTTTGCAAGTGAGAGACCTGAGTTCAATCCCAGGCAGAGGGCGAAACCTCGGGCGAGTTTCCTTACTCCACACACCTAATAATAATCCCTCCAAAACCCCAAACAATAATAAATTGATCATTTTCAATCTACGACTGTTTGTGGGACACTGCTGTGTGCAATTGGCTGCCGCGTTCGCCCACAAATATACAGTCAATTTACTTTACAGTGTGTTCTGTGAAGCGCTTTGGGATGTCCTCCCGATGTGAAAAGCGCTATATCAAATGCAAGGATTATTATATTTTATTATTATAGTGTATTCAACACAGAAAAAACTCTCTTGATCTGCTACCCGCACTCCTTCCCCAGCACTTAGAAAGCAAGCAGATTACCTCTGCCAATTCCGCCCAGCTGGCTACTAAGTGGGATACAAAATTAAGCAGCTACCCTGGTGAGTTCTCCCTCTCTGCGCCAATCATTGTCTGTGCCTCCCACAGTGAGGTGGCAGAGACTAGAAACTGAGCGATGTGGGGACTACATCTTGGTGTTCTACTGCACCGTCTCCCACCGTACTGAACCAATAAAGCCATCCAACACACTGTGGAGGCTCTTATGTACATGTTGACTTGACCTGTTAATGCCTTTGGCTCTACCCAGCTCTATTTCCTCCAGTTTCATATCAATGCATCTTTAACAGTGAAATCTGAAGCATTTCCTAACCTGTTCCTTGTTATACTAATTATTGCAAGGAACATGCTAGAAAATGCCATGCAAGTCACTCTTAATATTTACCACTAAATTAAAAAAAACAAGGAAAGCAAACAGTTGCAAAATACGTAAATGAAAAAGCCTTATTTGTACATTATTTTTCCCCCCCGGGCCTTGGGACACCCTCCTGACATTGAAGGCACAATATAAATGCAATTTGTTGCTGTTGTTATTTCTCCTTCTCAGACTGATAAACTGGATCTGAGTCATTTAATAGAGGGAATCTGATTTTCAACAGAACCTTTTATCGGGACAAAATAATTGCTTTAAAAAGTCAGTTAGACCACCTCCGAACATATTATCAAAAATAAATCCGAAGAATAAATTTATTTCCACATCACTTATTACATTCAGACAAGCACAGAATATTTTTTGCATTGATTTTTCTTGCTACAGTGGCACACTTGTTATACTGTCAAAACTCGCACAAAATCCTCACAAGTCACTCATTATACCAAAAAACAACAGAACATCAAATTAGTAGACAATAAGATTGTAAAAATAACACAATAACACATCTAACAATTTGCCAGTAACTGCAAATTGGAAAGCTAACAGTTTTGTTATTTATTATGAAGGGCTGAAATAATCAAATGCACAAACGCAATTAACTGATGGAGTTCAGTAAATTAAAAAAGAAGTCAAAGTAATATATTGTTCAGAAGGTTACTGGACAAGTACAGATTTATTATTTTACGAACATAATTCTCAGATCTGGGTGTAGGGTTACAATCAATTTGGTGTTTTATTATCTGAATGTATTTTATCAATCGGGCTACAATAACATCATAATATTCTGACATTGAACCTGAACCAGGGTTTTATTTATAATAGTAGACGCCACTTTTCAGGCTTGGCTTTGAATTCAGTTTGAATTGATGGGATGAAAGGCTCCTCTGGTGACTATAAGCGTCCAGAATTTTGTACAGTCTTAATCCAGTTCCTACTGAATGAATTTACAGTATAAAACTGTCCATTATCCAACATTAATGCACAATCTCACTGAGAGATTACAGACTGGGCCAGGGTGGACTGCCTGGTGCAGTAGAGCGTGCGTTTCTGAGGAATATTGTTGTGTGAGCTGCCTTGGCTGTGCCTCATCAGTACGTGCTTGGTGATGCCACCAGACAATGAAAATGGAAGGAAATATTTCACACCCACAACACTGCCACAGCACCTTGCAAAATTAAACCCAAAACAAAAAGATAATACACACACACGCACACCGTCTCAATTCTGGGTTTGTGTAAATTGTTAAAATTCCCTTTTAATGCTACTTTTCAAAACAATGTTTCTAGTTATCAAAAAACTTCAGAAACGTAGTAAAATTCCTTTAAGTGAGCTGAGGGGTAGAGGGGGAAAGGGAGAAGAAAACATGTACCTAATATACTTATGCTTTATCATTTATGCCACAAATCTGGTGGTTACACAAAAACATGGTTTGATGTATTTTTTTTCTCACACGTATCCTGTAGATTACTGTTGAATACCACAGGAATATGAACTGATACGTAAAACACAAGGGGTCACAGAGCTCTTGACCCACATTAAAATTAATTTACAGAACTTTTTTTTGTGTCATTAATGTTGTTATTGACATTGCATTAGTGGCCAAAATGAATCTGTGTGAAGAGAGGGTTATTGCACTATGGCAACAAATATAGAACTGGTGATTCAGTCGTGCAGAACCAATGCATTCCTGCTTAATGCATAATTGCACCCAAGAATATTAGTCAAAGCAATGTCGAGCTACACGCTCTGTATAAATTTCTCTTCACGCAAGACAGATAAAAAAGTGCTATCATCTTACAAAATGAGCTAAGGGGGTTTATGTGCATAAATAGCACATCAAATCCATAACTGTAAACACAATGCACATTACTACACGTTAATTACGGCTGCACGTGAACATCTACAATTACCTTCACAACATGCACATGGTCCACAGAAATTGGAATAAACTGAAGTTCAGCATTGGCTGTAGAAGGTTTGGGATGTCTGGTCATTTGAATGAGTTACGGCGTGTTAGAGACCTGTTCTCTTTCGATGCCACTTGCAGCTCCTAACGAACAAGCGAGTGTTAATATTTCAATATCATCCCATCAAATATCACGACGGTAACAAGCTGAGCTGGCTCGTAATGACGGGAACTAAATAAAGACATGGTGTTCTGGTTCA